TTAGATGGGCCCCCCCCCCCCCCATATTAAGGACAGATCTTCCCCATTCAGTCCACCAAATCACATGCCAATCTTCTCTGGAAACACCTCACAGACACACCCAGGAATAATGCTTTACCAAATTTCTAGGTATTCCTTAATCCAGTCAAGGGGACACCTGAAATTAACCATCACATATATATATATATAGTGTGTGTGCATATATACACACACACACACACATGTACACATGTACACATGTATATATATTAAAATCAATCTGTCAATCATAATTACACAGAGATTGATTTTAAAGAGTTGCCTCATGAAATTGTAGAGCCTTGGTAAGTCTAAAATCTGATGGGGGTAGGGGAGCAGGCTGGAGACACAGGGAAGAGTTGTAGTTTAAGTTCAAAGGCAGTCTGCTGGCAGAATTCCCTCTTGGTTAGGTGAGGTCAGCCTTTGTTCTTTGCAGGCCTTCAACTGATTGGATGAGACCCACCTACATAGCAGAGGGGAGTCTGCTTTACTCATAATCTACCTATTTAAATTTTATTCTCAACCAAAAAACACTTTCACAGAAACATCCAGAATAATGTTTGAACAAATATAGGGACAACTTGGCCCAGTCAAGTTGATACATAAAATTAACCATCACGATGAGTCTATACAAGGATGGAAGTATCATAGTAGTGGGGGTCCAGGAGAGGGTTTGCCTGCTTTTTCCCCCATTCACCCCAAGCCAGAGGATTTAGGAGAATGTGTTCTTAGTGTTTGAGGAGATGTTTATAAAATTTTTTAAAAAATTTATTAGAAAGTATTTCTTATACCATTTTATAAAATTGGCAATCCTATCCTCTTACATTTGTATTTTTCTTTTTAAAATGTGGGAGTTTTTTGGAAATAGTTATCTCAATTTATCATTCAGACCCTCAGTTTAAGTCACTGCCCTAAATGCCCTTATCTCCAAGCAAGTGTTGGAGAAAGCTTCATCTATTCCTCATTATTGGCATTTGTCAGCTGTTGACACACAGCCATCAGTAGGACTCTGGTTTACTCCGTTCTCATTCCCAGATTGAAGGTAATGTCTCTACAGTGTGGCCACTCCACTCTGTTCTAGGAAGTAAGATTCTCCCTGAGAGTCAGATCTGGATCACACAGCATCTGCTGGTTGTGACATTAACATTTGTCCATCTGGAATAGTAAAGCATCCCCCTAACCGTCTTGCCGTTTGTTCCTTGCTTTGATTATGTAGTAGGAAAGTAGTAATATGATCAAGAGGTGAAAAAAATATGTAATTTCACCAGAGGATATGGACATATTAGAGGGTGACATGGGAACCTTTATGACAGGATTTATGGTATTTCTTAATCTCCTACCGTTGCTTACTCAGCATTGCTTTCTGAAATGAGAGCTTAGCAGATGGTGCAACCTGATGTTCAAAGGCACGGAGAAGTAGAAATATGTTCTTAGCCCTGGCAAAAAATAGTCTAGATGCTGTGTTTACATGGGCATTAGTCTGGACCACAGAATAAAGCCTAAGCTATAATAAAGCTGCCTTGAGACACACTCTGGGGGAATATGTGGGAATGTGAGACTCCAGTTGCTTTAGGCTCAGCAGTCTTACTAACCCTACCTCCAAGGACTGTAGGCCCTAAGGGGTAACACCATGCTGTGATCCCAGCATCCAGCACAGTGCCTGGTGCATAAAGACTCCCAATAAACATTAGTTGAATGAATAAATGAATTGAAGGCTTTCTTTCTTTTTTTTTTTTTTTCCTTTTTGTCTTTTTTACTGACCGGCAACGGGGTGATCGCAACCCTCGGTGCTGCGCCCGCACCGCGCTCAGCCAGTGAGCGGGAACCGGTCTCAACATGGGATCCGAACCCTCAGCGGGAGCGCCACCGTGCTCCCAAGCTGCGCACTCTCCAGTGCGCCACCGGGCCGGCCCTTGAAGGCTTTCTTTTATCTGTGGCTCTGAAGAACCATTGTTTGATCCTGTGGAGCTTGGAAAATATTTTGGGATATATTTGCTCTTTGGGTAAGTGTTAGCTGGATTAAGGATAGAAATGCCTTAAAGCTAATGTAAAACACCTGTGCTTAATTACCTTCAAAAAATAAGGTGATAGGAACTATGCTTTTTCATTTTTTTTGCAGTGCCCGTGTGAAAGCTGGAGAAAGTGTTCTGGTTCACGGAGCTAGTGGAGGAGTAAGTATTTTTTTTTTAAGTTTATTTTTAAATGGTTTTGGGTTTATGGATTTCACATTATAGTTCTTTAAGTCGTTTTTAAAAGCCGAATTTATAAATATAGTCATGGGTGCCGTTTTTCCTATATGGAGTGAAGCTTTTAAAAAATTTATCTTCTGAAGTGATTCTTTGTCATTAGTTTAGCATTTCTTGGTTAATAAATTCAACAGATCACCCCATCAAAAATGTGTGTATTAATTAGGTTTTCCACTTGTATTGGGTGTGGACTAAGATAAACTGGCCTTTTTTGTGCCTTCAGGTAACACATGTTATGAGAATATTTATTTAGAATTTTAAACAGTTCTTTAAGGTTAATATTAATTCCATATTCCCTTAGATAAGGAAACTAAGGCTCATTAAAGCTTTACCTGTGTTGCCCCAGACAGCACCGCAAAGCTGCACCGTGAATTCTTAGCCCTTTCTACCTCCCTTCCACTGTGTGCCTGCTGCGCTTTGATGACATTCGTGGAGTGCACAGTACACTGCTGTGTCCTTAACACCACAACTCGTAGCATAAATTGCTAATGTTTGGGGGGCGGGGGTGTGAGGGGAGGACTCAGAACTTATAAAATAAGCCCTTCAGTGGGCTGTCAAATACGTCTTCAGAAACTGGCTGCCAATCTGCCTCTGAGGAGCTTAGAGGAAAAGTTAGAGCTCTGAGGTTGGAATTTAACAAGAAATCCACATGACCTCTATCCTGCAAGTAGAGGTTTTCAAAATTTTGGAGACAAGATTTCACATTTTAAAATAAAGGGCCTGGGGCTAGATGGCTCACCTTGAGGAAGCCAGTTAACCCTTTCAGAGCACTGTGTATTCTGGGGAGTAGTTTAAAAGAAGTAACCGAATAAAGGGCAAATTGTCCTCCAAAATCCTGAAAATGTGAATTTACCTCTGAAAGTGGCTAGATAAACAGAGAATTCATTCCATTTTGTCTTTCTGTTCTTTAAATAGATGAATCACAAGGTATGAAACCTCACTTCCTATATACCTCAAGTAGATCAATTCTGAAGGATCTCAGAGATCAGACTATTAAAAAACACAAAGATTGTCTTTATGAGGCTTGAGAAAATATGAAAGTTATACCTTGTCAAAAATTCCCATTGTTTAGCTTCACCTAAGAGGCTATTTTTGGGTTAAATTAAATTTAACTCTAAATAACTAAAGGGTCTGTCAAACACATGAATTTATTTAAATTGTTGTGACTTTCAGACAGCTAAGCTTGTGCTCTGTGTAGCAGGGAAAGATTTCAGTAGAAAGGGGAGAGAAGATTTTAAAGAAAATCTCTTTTTATTCCCTTTACCCTTTTGTAAAAAGCCTAGTTGCTTCACCATGAGTTGCTTTTTTAAAAAAAGTAAAATCCACACTGTTCCCTGAGCTGACTGAGTTCTTTAAATCCTTGGCTGGCAGGGCCAGGCTGGCAAACTGGCATGTGAAGCATTCTGATCCTCCCTGCCCTATCAGAGGGAAACAGTATTGGACTTTGCCTTGCTTCTGTTTGTACTTTCTGTCCTCATTGAATTCAGATTCCTTGGGGATTATGTTGTGTGTTTATAATGGTTGTGTAATTTATGAACACAGCTATTATCCGGATATGTTGGTGGGCAGTTGCCTAGTAGAAGAAAAATAGTTGACACATAATTGTACATAATCTACTGGTATTGCTAGTAAAATAGTTGACAAGAATAAAGAGGGCCTTTAAAAGAGCTGTTAAGTGCCCCTTTAAAGTAGTTAGAGCACAAGGAGATATGTTTATACTGAATCTTCAGTTTAAAATGTGGTTTTATTAGAGATTTGTTTTTTTTTAAATTGAAAATTAAAGGGCCGGCCCGGTGGCGCACTGCTACAGTGCACCACTTGGGAGTGCGGTGGCGCTCCCGCCGAGGGTTCGGATCCCACATACAGACCGATTCCCGCTCACTGGCTGAGCGAGGTGCGGGCGCAACACCGAGGGTTGCGATCCCGTTGCCGGTCCTGGTCCGGTACGGGCGCGACACTGAGGGTTGCGATCCGTTGCCGGACACGAAAAAAGACAAAAAGGAAAAAATAAATAAATAAAAAATAAATTGAAAATTAAAGTAGCAAAAATCAATCATGCTGTCCCCATAGTGTATTGTATTTGGTCTAGCTGGTTGTCTCTCTCCTTGCTCAGACAGGGAGTTCCATGCATTTTTTTGTTTTGGTTAAATCAGACAAATCCTGCCATAGCCTGACTGAGTTCAGGCTCATCACTCCCATGTTGCATACAGTCTTTAAGGTCCATTTCAGGTCTGGGAGTCTGTGATTTTTTTTCAATTTTAATTAGTTTCTGTCATCATTTTTCATTTAAATTCTTTTCTATCTTGACCAACCCAGTTATTCCTCTACATCAGTGGTTATCAATAGGGGGTGATTTTGCATCATCCCCCTTCCCCTCAGGGACAGTTGGCCATGTCTTGAGAATTTTTAGTTGTCACTACTGGGGAAGGGGGGTGACGGCATCTAGTGGGTAGAAGCCAGGGACACTGTTAAACATCCTTCAATGCACGGGATAGTCCCCTACAACAAAGAATTGCCTGGCCCAAAATGTCAGTAGTGCCAAATTGGCAAAACTCTGTTCTAAATGTATGTGAAACTTATCTGTGTCATTCACTTGGCATGTAATCAAACATACTTCCTAGTATTGTTATTGAAATAATTGCTCTTTTATCTATATTCCTATTACTTTTATTTCTCTTTTCTGCTAAGCACACTTACCTGGTATTCTAGTTCTTTCACCCAATCCCATGGCTTTAAATGCCATCTATAAGATAATGAATCTCAAATTTGTGTCTCCAACTCTGAACTCTTTTGAGCTCATACCTGTATTCAGCTGATTACTGAACATCGTCACTTTGGTAGCTGTGCAAGTCAGCATGTTCAAAGTGAATTCTTGATGATTTCACAGACTTGATGCTTTCCAGTCTTCTGCTCAGTTAATCTACCCAGTTAATCTGGCCAAAGACCTAGGAGACATCCTTGATTTTTCTCTCTCTTTTTTTTTTTTAACTCCCACATCTAATCTATGAGTAAGTCCTGTCAGCTTATCTCTAAACTATATCTGAAATTGTTTTTATTCTTTCCGGTGCTGCCACCTTAATCCAAGCCAGCTTTATCTCTTACCTGGACTATTTTACCAGCTACCAACTGATCTTCATACTCCCTTTTTTAAACACCACCCCCCTGATCTTGTTTATGCGTCATGTGTAACTGGAGTGACCTCTTTAAAGCCTAAATTGATCATATCACTCCCCTGCTTAAGCTCTTCAATAGTTTTGCATAGCTCTTAAAATAATCTGAAGTTTTTTGCCTCCACCTTCAGGGGCCTGTGTGACTCCCCCTTTCTGGGCATCTTCCACTCTCTCGCATGTGCCCCATCCGTGAGCCAGACTGACCATTCTTTCTGTCCTTTGAATATCCCAAGTGCATTCCCGCTTCACCAGGTTAGCCGTGGCCATTCACTGCTTGCAACTTTCTCCACGTGGCTGCCCAGTTGTTCATGTGGCTTGTTCCTCACTTCTTTCATTTCTCATTTCTTCAGTGGCCTTTCTTGATGACCTAAATAGCCCCTCTTCCTAACCCAATAGCCAGTTTCTAACCCAAGAGCCAGTTTTATTATTTTTTTTCTTTGTACTTATTTTCAGAATTTATCTTATTCATTTATTTGTTTGTCTTTATCTTCCCCCCCTCCTTAGAATGTAAGTTTCTTAATTACCATGTCCAACACATAATAAACACTCAATAAATGTTCAGCGTATGGGTGAATGAATTTATTTGCCCATGTACTTGTTTCTTCTACTTAAATGGTAGAGAACTCACATGTGTTAATTAATATTTTATATGCACAGTTAAAAGAGGAAGTCAGTGAACATGTTCTGACCATCTTTAAATCCTTTACCTTCTGCACAAAGCAGTTGCTAAGCAAACATTTTTATGCAATGGATAAAACGTTAAGTTCTGCAATCCGATTTGGTCTAGCTCCTTTTTCCAAGTTACTTATATTTTGAAGCTTCAGCTTTCTCATCTGTAGAGTAGGGACAATAATGGTATCTACTTCGTAGGGTCATTGTGGGGATGAAATAAAGCAATGTGTAAAAAGTATTTAGTAGGGTACCTGGGACATTATAATACTCAATAAAAGTTAGCTATTTTTCTTATTTCTTCATTTACACTCCTTAAGGATAGTGTAGGTTCCTTAAGGATAGGGTAGGTCCTAGAAGAATCTTAAATTCATTGAATATACTTAATAAGTGTTTGCAGGAGTGCAAGAGTATATAACTACTGTTATTTTTTGTTTTTCAGGTTGGAATAGCAGCATGCCAAATTGCTAGAGCTTATGGCTTAAAGGTTTTGGGCACGGCTAGTACTGAGGAGGGACAAAAGATTGTTTTGCAAAATGGAGCCCATGAAGTGTTTAACCACCGAGAAGTTAATTATATTGATAAAATTAAGGTAAAGTTTTCTAAAATTTTGCAGAAGTCAAACTTTGTTCGTTGGAAGTTTATGTAGTTTTCAATAAGTTCTTTTACCAACTACTCTTAAACTTGTTTGCTTCTTTTTTTTTTAATGCCCATGTATGTCTTATGCCTACATGTGTTTTAAAGTTTTAATTAATTTAAAAAGCAAAGACATCTAATTTTTAAACCTTCACTATCATTTCTATCATGTATGTCTTATGCCTACATGTGTTTTAAAGTTTTAATTAATTTAAAAAGCAAAGACATCTAATTTTTAAACCTTCACTATCATTTCTATATTATTTATGTGTATTAAATTTAAGAATATCCTCTCTAGAGTCTTATAGCGATAAGAATTGGTGCTCTTTAATGGCATGCATTTTAAGGAAAGCCACAGCTTTGTGTTTATAGCTGTGGTGTGTTCTTAATACAGTTTCTACTGATGTGAAGTTTCCATGGAAGGTGAGCTTTCTATAGATTATAAACAGGACCTTTCTAGCCCAGGGAATAAAGTTTATTTGTTAACTGGATGTTTTGGAGAACTAATCACCTCCTCACTGAAAGTGGTAAGACAGTATTTAGTTGTTGCACTAAACAGAATTTAAGCAAATTCTGAAGTTCCCCATTTGAACTATAGTGGCAGCTTACTAACACTGATTACTTTGCTAATTCCTAAACCACTTCCTCATGTTAGAAAGAATTAGAATTTCCCAGGAACTGAGTACTAAGTACCCATTACAAACTGTGGAAAAATACGAGTGAGAGCTTATTAACACTAAATCATCTTGCAACAAAACTGAGCAAAGACATCCCTTTGTTATATGTCCAGGAAACCTAGTATCCAGTACTCACTCCTAATACCATTGTCCAAGAATATTTACAAAGATCGAAGATGGCCAGTTAGTTTAAGAGTATGGTTTTTGTTTAGCAATAATCCAATTTTAACACCGTGAGGTCTTATGGCTTCCATCTCTTCCACTCACTCCTTCTGCTTCAGTCCCCTACATCTTCGCTTTTCTGTTCCTTCTGTCCAGGCTGACTCTGCGTCATATCTAACTTCCTCTTGCTCATCTTTCTTCCTTTTCACATAGAAAACTATTCAACTTTCAGGGCCCAGGTCATCATCTCTGGAACTTTCTGTGACCACTACAGGCAATCAGACTTTAACTTTTTTCGTCTGTGCTGCATTTCTGCTACTGTAGCACTTAGCTCATTACATTATAGCTACGACCATAGTATTTTTCATCTTTCTCCCTAGTTTTGTTTTGAGCTCCTGTGTCAGTCTTTGCATTCTTGGTACCTAGTGCCTGGCACAGGTACTCATTTTTGTTGTTGTTAAAATAAAATGAATATAATGTAGAGATGTATAACATTTTTAAAAGCCAGTTTTGGATGTTGGGAGCCAATATCTTAGAGCTCAAAAGAAAATACATAGTGTGTCAAGCAGATTGTAAACCATTTAGTGCAAAACTGAATGTACACCCCAAAAAATCCTGCAGTACCAAACAGCCAATGATTTCTTCTTTTCCTTTTAGTTTTTTTTAATAAAAATGGGAGCCCCTTGGGAGTTTTAGATTTTTGATTTGTTGTTTGTTTCTCTATGAAAGTTAATTTTGAAGACAGAAAATTTTCAGCTAAGAAAAAAGTATTTCATACTCACGTTATATCTAGCACCTGAAAATTCCAGGCAAATTTTCTTTCATTACAGCAATTTGTTTAGTACAAATTTTTATGATTTTACATGTTGTGGCTGGTACCTTGAAATTACATCATCTTTATATAATTAGGTCATTTTAAAATTTGCATTGTTAGTCTTAAAAGTGTAGCATTTTGTATGTCATTTGAAACATATTTCTGTAATATATGGTATGATAATAGCTATTTTACAGTTTTTTTTACTTATCTTACTCTACGTTCTTTTTGACTATACAGAAATCTGTTGGTGAAAAAGGAGTTGATGTGATTATTGAAATGTTAGCTAATGTAAATCTTAGTAATGATTTGAAACTTCTGTCATATGGAGGACGAGTAATAGTAAGTATTTCTCTTCTTTTTTTACCACTTTAAAGTTTTATCACAATTCAACACTATTTTACAGTAATCTTTAACTGTTTTATGTTGTTTTTCATAATAGATTGTTGGCAGCAGAGGTCCTATTGAAATAAACCCACGGGACACCATGGCAAACGAGACTAGTATAATTGGAGTTGCTCTCTGGTCATCAACTAAAGTACAAAAAGAAGTAATTCTGATTTTGGTTAACTTAAACATTGCTACAGTTTGCCTAGTCAGGCAGACTGAAAGTTTAAATAATTGTTAAACTTAGTTATCTGACTGGAGGAGTAGGTTAAGGATTAGTCACTGGAAGGATAACTAGGGCAACAATGTAATTATTTAAGTTAGGACGCTTTTGAGAGAGAAAAGTTATTAGTAATTATTTCAGAACAATAGGAATTTTGTAAACTAATACTCTAAGGCAAATGGGACTTATGGTAACCCTATAGAGAACTACTTTTTCTCTAGTTCTGGACAGGTTGACAAAAGCCACATGTTTGTAAGGGAGTCTTTATGGTGTAATCTTAGATTCTGAAGTTTTTTAATGCTCCTGAAAATTGTCATATGGTCCACTGCCAAAACTTTTTTTTTCTTTCCTTTAGGAGGAATTTCAGCAATTCGCAGCAGGCCTTCAAGCAGGAATGGAAATTGGTTGGCTGAAACCTGTAATAGGTTCTCAGTATCCATTGGAGAAGGTGGCCCAGGCTCATGAAAATATCATTCATGGCAGTGGAGCTGCTGGAAAAATGATTCTTCTCTTATGATTATTAATTCTTTCATGGATTTCCTATGTGGTTAGAAGTTTTCCTTCTCCCAGTTTTACTTACACTATCTTTAATTAAAATTCATTTGATTCAGTGAGTTTCTTATATTAAAAAACAAGACTTCTTTGAATAGCAGAGACAGTGGAGTAAAATTTATTTTATAGCTGGCAATATTTTTCATGCGTTCTATCTTGAAGCAAGGAGTCATCATAGTGGGAAATAGTATCTTGGTGGTCATTTCGCATTGGGGTACATTCCAGAAATTCTTAACTGATACTTCATTAATTTCATACTTTTGACTAAAACATGTTAACTCAAAATAACACTGCTCAATTTCCAAGGATTTCCAAGTATACTTATCTTTATAAAGGTTCTTTAGTCTCTGATTAGCCCATAAGTATATTGAACTTTGAAGATTTTCTGGATTAAAAATAATGTTCCAAACTAATTTCATCTGCATCTATAAGTCTCTTGGAAGAGCAAGAATAAACAATTCCCATAGAAATTTGTTAGTTTTTTCAGTATTTCCCCAAATATTAGAATGTTCACTACATTATTGGTTGATTGCCAGTGACCCCCCCCCGCCCCCGCACCCACCCTGTAGGTTCTGTGAAAACAGCAGCCTTATTTTTAGTATAGTATGATACTAAGTACATAGTCTCCAAGTAGGTGCTTCTTGATTGGTTAGATTTTCAGAGTAGATTTAAAGTTATTTGTGTGATGAGGGTCATATATTTTTAAATTGATAAGCTCACAATTTGACACACTGAGTGGTTTTTATTTTCATAACATGGTAACTTGCAATAAATTCTATAGACAATTAAAACCTGTGTTTATGTAGTTTGTCTTTGTGTAGTATTTGCCTCACATCACGGCTACTCAACTCCTAACAATTACTTCCTGACAGTGTCCTGTGATGGAAGCTTTATCTAAACTAAATAGAGGGATGACCTCTTGGAAATCTTGCCTTCAATATGATGTCCAAGGAAGTAAGGTTTGGTTGTTTGTTATTTTTGGTTTTGTTTTCCTTCATCATGAATACATGCTTCTGCCTCTTGTGACATTATGTGGTTGGTTGCCTTGACATGAATTGTTCTGTTGAATGACAATTTCTGGTTTGAACATAGAATCCTGCTTCAGTAGTGAACAGAAAGCACTGCTAATTTCTATAATCAAGGGGTATTATTGGTTTCTGGTTGTGTGTGCCATCGCTGAAGTGTTTTTGCTAGTATCATTTTTCAGGTTCATTCACTATTTCTTTTATTTATTTTTGGTGGCCAGCTGGTGCAGGGATCTGAACACTTGACCTTGGTATTAGCACCATGCTCTAACCAAGTGAGCTAACCAGCCAGCCCCACTATTTCTTTTATAGGTTAACTGTCCTTTAAAATAACATTTTTGAAAAAAGTGTTAAAAAAGCAATGTCATCAATCTGTAGGCTAGCATTTTATGTGCATCCTAAAGTGGAGGATTTCTTCCCATACAAAAAGATAAAACAATAATTATTCCATAAAAGTTGGTTTAATATGTTTGCACATTTGCCTCTTCCATAGAATGAGCTAAAACACATAGATAACTTATTAGTTCACAATCCATTCGTACAGTTCGGTTAATTTCGAAGGCAAAACTAGCCAAGCTGTATGCATTAACTCCCATATTTGTGATCATATAGCATCAGATATGTTCCTTGCACCCATCTCTTTATAATTCCAGTTCAAGTGTTGTCCCAACCTTCGGCCAACTACATTCACTACTTGGTTGGTACCTTTAGGTAGCCTTGTGGCTATGTAAAGTAGAGAATAACCCATAGAATAAACAAGCGCTGTTTCACCTCTCAACTTCTGGATTTCTGTTCCTGTTTGCTTTGACTTCTGTGACCTACAATCATATAATGTGTTACAGACCAAATTGATCGGACACCCTGAGCCACATGTGAAACAACATGCCAAAGTCACATAACTGGTGAGGAGATTCAATTTCAGCTGACTTTTTTTAGTAGGATGTTGATAAAAAGCCATACGTTTCTGAATTTTAACTTCTAGGCCTTTGGCTTTCCTACCTTGCGATCCCCTTTAGCTTCTTGTAGGAGTTGAGCTGCTTGCTTTCCAGCTTCACTTTGCCTGGGATTCCTAGTTCCTGACCCTATTAATCCTCCTTGGCTCAGTTTTAACCTATCTCCTGATTTGACAGTCTGTTATGAAGGGGATTATTCTAGTCATCCATTAGTACAACAAATATTTATTGAGTACTTAGAGTTTGAGAAGGCGTTGTGTTGGAATTTGAGGATACAAAGATATAAGACATAGTCCACATCCTTGAGTTTACAGTTGAGTAGGGGTAAGACCCAAGAAAAACATTTTAGAGTATAAGGGAATATAACAGACGGCATTCTCCAGAGAAACAGAATCAATAGGACATACATAGGCAATTGTGGGAACTGACAAATCACAATCTGTAGTGCAGGCCAGCGACTGGAAATACAGGTAGGGTTTCTACTCTTGCAGTCTTGAGGCAGAATTTTTCAGTAGGAAACCTCAGTTTTTGCTCTTAAGGCTTTCAACTGATTGGATGAGGCCCACCTACATTGAGGGAAATTCTCCTTGTCTTAAAGTCAACTGATACTGTCATGTAAACACATAAATACAAAGGGGTGATGGAGGGACACAGAGGAGGTTCTCTTAGTGTAGCTTGGGATTTCCGGTTACACATTTAATACTTTTGATGTTGTTAGCTCTTTCCATCTGTAGTAGCTTTGGCCATAAAAGTAAAAAATACATGGATGCTTCTGAAAGGGAGAAATAAAACCAGATAGCATTTTATTTTATTTATTTATTTATTTATTTTTTCCTTTTTTGTCTTTTTTTGTGACCGGTAACTGGATCGCAACCCTCGGTGTTGCGCCCGTACCGTGACTGACAACAGGATCGCAACCCTCGGTGTCGCGCCCGCACCATGCTCAACCAGTGAGTAGACCGGTCTCTATATGGGATCCGAACCCTCGGCGGGAGCGCCGCTGCGCTCCCAAGCGCCGCACTCTACCGAGTGCACCACCGGGCCGGCCCCAGATAGCATTTTATAATGTCCTTAACTCAGCTGTATTTAGGCAAGAAATTACGTGTGTGCCAGGAGCTTCCACGATTCAGTGCAAAGAGCTTTTTTCTGCACAAGATAACTCCCAAGAATGACATGACCTACCAGGTCACTTTGACCTAGCTCTCTGAGCCCTCTCAACCACATCTCACAGAGAAAAATACCTCAGCTCAATTCTTAATCATCTCTTTCTAATACTACCATTTTTAGTACACTGCTTTAAAAAAAGGTCATTTAAAAATTGTCATATGACAATTTCAATAATCCATAGGGCTCATGTTGTGGGAATATCCTACATCCAAGGAAAGAGCCTAAAAAATGTAAATGTTTTATTGTAGAAAGAAACCTAGGGTCACTTTGGTCAATGTCTATGATCCCTAAGTCATACATGGGACAGTCCAATACTGATCCCCAAACCATTGTGTGACACAGATGCTGACTTAACATGTGCTAAACATAACCACAGATGATCAGTTCCTGATTTATTTATTCCCAACTTCATGTAAAATACCTACAGACAGCAATAGTAAATTGAGATAAAGGGGAAGAGTGAAAATGAACACCTTAAAATATGCAAAAAAGGGGAACCCCTGTTGCAAATCCCCATAGGGGGTGCAAATGGGCATAACTGACACTACAGAAAACTTAGTCATGTGAATTGAGATAAAGGGGAAGAGTGAAAATGAACACCTTAAAATATGCAAAAAAGGGGAACCCCAGTTGCAAATCCCCATAGGGGGTGCAAATGGGCATAACTGACACTACAGAAAACTTAGTCATGTTGGTAAATGTGATAACTTCAATACTGCAGAGAAAAAAAGGATGAGAAAAATAGGATAGAATAAACAAAAAATGAAAATGCAATCTTTGAATTATAGGTGCGCTTGAAACATATCCCAGAAACAGTAATAATTAAAGAAAACTTTCCTGAGCTAAACAAAAGAGCTAAATTTATTTACTGGCAATATGCATTATTTCTATACAAGATTAATGAAGACTTGGTAACAAGACATATTCTTTACTTACGTGGAATTTAAAAATTTTAGATTTGAGAGGGAGTATGTAGAAAAATAATTATTTACAGTTATGTTATTCAAAACCTGGAAAATGCAAGTGAACCAATGGAAAAACTATTAATGAGTTCAGAAAGGTAGCTAATTGCATAATAAACACAAAGATCAATATAAGTCAGTAATGATCAGTTCAAAAATATAATAGAATAAAATCTCATTCACAATTGCAATACCATTACTATTTCTAATTTTAAAAAAGCAGTGAAATATAAGTGACCAAATTTACAAGGAACATACAGGAACTTTAAAAAGAAAATTATAAAACTCTCCTGGGGGACCTAAAGGATACTTGAAGAAAAGATTCTTGGTTAGTCATGTAAAATTCTTCCTTCACACTCTAGAAATTCAAAGTAATTCACATCAAAATCTCAATAGTAATTTTTAGAAACTTGACAAAATGTTTCTAAAGGTTTTTTTTGGTGGAGGGGAGAAGGAGGCAAGTAACCAGAAAAATTCAGAAAAAATATGAATTGGAACCAGTCCCAGCAGAAATGAACATTTTTTTTCCACCTTAGAGTTTCTAATGTATAGTCATATTAAGCCAAGAATAACTAAGTCAATGGAGCAAAGTAGAGTCTAGAAATGCTTCTCACTTTTGTGGATGATAAAAATAGCTTTTCAGTGGGGAAAGAGGTTATTTAATAAGAGAACTGGCTACCAATTTGGGAAAAAATATAGCATCTGACTTCACTTCTAGCATCAAAGACTTTTAGGTGGTTCAAAAATTTAAAGACAATAAGTAAGATTATGTAAAACAAACACATGGTAGAATATTTTTATAATCCTGAGAGGTGA